CCAGACCCACGCCGAGCGGCCACGCGCGGCTGACACGCACGAGAGCGCGCCACTCAACCAACCAACCAGCCAGGACGAGGGAGGAGGAGGACGCGGCGCGGCATCCCCACGCCGACTACCACCGGCCGCACCGCAGCCCAAGGCGCGGAGCACAGGAAACACCCGACAGAGACCAGCAGGGCGCCAGGGAGGCCCGCGGAGACCCACAGGGACCCCCCCGAATCCGCAGCCCCGCTTTGGGAGCGCCCACGGGCGTGACAGCAAGAAGGCCAGAAGGCAATGAGGCAACAAGTGGCAAAAACAACATCCCCGCTCCTCAAATTTCCCTGCCCCCCAAATTGCTGCGCAATCTAGGGGCGACGGAAATTTACCGTCGCAGAGCATGAAGCTGCCCGCGTTCCCGCACGCACTGAGGGCGGAACGGATCGTGCAGCTGGCGGGCCATGACCTGGGAGGTCCAGAGCGGCCCAGTGCACCCAGGCAGGGACAGGCAGCTGCGCGAAGCGACTGCGAATATTTTTGAGCCCAGTGCAAGCAGGAGCCTTTCACTCGCCAGCTTCCGACGAGTCAGAGTGGTCAACCAGAAACTCTGCAGCCGCTATGGCTCCTCTGGCGCGAGCAGAAGCGTAAGCAAAGGCAGTCAATCCGCGCCAGCCTCCCGAGTAAAACAAAGCAGTCGGGCCACCTGCCTGCAGGCACTCTGTAGCCCAGCCCCGCCGAAAAGCGTGGGTGCCCCAGGACGCAGCGTTGGCAAAGCCGCACGCGCCGGCGGCAATTTTCAGCATCCCCAAGCTTTCAGCATAAGTAATGCCTGCGAAAATGTTGGGCACGTGGACGTCGCCACGCAGCCGGACCACAACGCAAACACCACAAAGAGCACGACCCTGCAGTTTGCAGATGCAGGTTCGCGTGACCTCCACCGGTTCCGAGTAACACTTCCTCTGCATGAAAGTGATGCAAACGTGACGGCGCCCGTCTGCGGCAACGCCGACGCGAACGGGGGCACGCTCGTTCCCGATCTGGAGAACCTCGCCGTAGCGCAAGCAGAAATGCCTGGCGACAACCCAGGAATCCCCCAGCAATGGAAAGCCGAAACTGACGCACCACATTGCGAGGGCTCTTGTCTCTCCAGCCGAAGCCCGCACCCGCAGCCTCCGTTGAGCTCGCCCTGCTTTTTCCGCGCCTCGGACAACTCGAGCCGTGTCTGCCAGTGGCCCGATTGGGCATCTCAGCCACGACAGCACTGTGCGGAGATGGGACAAGTACCGGCTCAACGACGACGAGCTGCGAAATAAACCAACAAAGCAATCCAGCGCTACCTGCGTGGGAGGCCACGGAGAGCTCCCGCAAGCACGCGCTGCCTGCCCGTAGAGGCGAACCGCGGACGCGTAGCCAGGAGCACTGGTTTTCCAACCGCAGAATTCCAGCCAAACTGCCTGCTCAGCGAGCGCCGTTGGCGCCAAGTTGGCCTGCAGAAGCTCTGTGCGTGGCTTCTTCGTCGGGGGCACGCACAGCCCACAATCATGCTTCGCCAGTGCAAGAATCGCTTTTGCGAGGGGCTCTGGCTCGGGAATCTGCCCAGAAGCACGCGCCAGGGCACATAACCGAAGCGCTGCCTCAGCTGTCGCTCTGGTGTCCGGCGCTGGAGGCGGTGAACGTGGGCCCGCGGCTCCTTGGCGACCAGGAAGCAAGCTTGATGGAACACCTGCCCCACTAATACTCTGGGGCGCTGCCACTCGAGATGCAGGGCTGCATACAGCAATCAGCGCACGAACGAACGTCTCGGACACGGTGGCCAAAGGTGCCCAAATAAGCACCGCTTCCTCCACAGCAATGCCACGGAAATCATCACTGCTCGAAACGCCTGCCTTCTGAAGCTTGCTGCACAGCGACGCCACGTCGACGTCGGCCCTGGAAACAGCAGCGGCTCGCTCCAGCAGCGTGGACAACCCTGCAAATGAACCCTCCGAGCCCGAAGGTGGGTCCGCTGCTGCAATTGACCTCCCAGCAGCGCTGGCCCGGCTCTGCTCAAGAAATTTGAGCATATTGGGCCAAGCTGCTACAGAATCGACGTGCGGCGACGATGACGCACAGGCAGCGCGACTACGCATGACCCACATCAAACTGAAAACCAAGCACGAGACGCGGACCGGACGCCCAAAACGAAAACCACAGAACCACGTTTCCAGGCCAGAAAGGAACGCGCCGCGAACACGGCACCCGGTTGGGATCCGCCCAAAACGGCACCGAAACGCGGCCAACGCCGAAACCATAACGCGGACCCAGCCATGCCAAAACCCGCGAACTGCCTTCGAGAAGCAACGCGCCAGAAGAGACGACTGAGGACGCAGATGAGCACATGCTTTTTCCATGGCGCTCATTTTCCAGATCCACGGCCTCACTGCGGCCACGGCGCATCGCAGGGGGCAACCCATGCGACATGGCGGAAACCTGCGGCGCGCATCGCTTCCAGCGCTGCGGCCTTGCCTTCCGGCCTGGTCGGCGCGTCTGCCACGTTAAGGTGGCTGGGAACGAAAAAACTATAGAGAAGCACGCCAGCGCGGGCGATTCGAAGCCACAAGTCGCCTATCAGATCGTTCCAATCAGACTGCCTGGACGACCCTCGGATCAAAGTGCCGAGGGCCACGGTGTTGTCCACAAAAAGCAACACCTCGAGCTCACCCAAATTCTGGCTGAGAAGGAAATTGATCGCGCAAATTGCAGCGAGCAGTTCCCACGTGGCTACCTGATTCCTGCGGTGGTGTACCCAGTTCCGCGCTGGTTCGGGCACAGTGGCAGCCGACCACAGGCGCGCGCCGGGGAAGCAAAGGGCCCACGCCACATTGCCACTTCCCGTGGCGTCCGAGTACACAATGCAGCGGACGCGAGCTGCTGGCCTCGCGCATAGCACAGTGCGGGACGGAACGCATTCGAGGAAGCGGAGCCACCACTGCAGCGCGCGAGTAACACGACCAGAAAGTTTGGAGCCGTGCTCCGACGCGTGCTTGAAAAGTGGAGCCAGGTGCACTCTGGCCGCGCGACCAAACACTGCTGACGACCCCCAGCTGAGTCGGCCGGCCAATTTCTTGGCTTCAGCTGGGGACATCGCGCCATGGCCCAGGATGGCACGAATTTGCGCACTCCACCGCGCGAGCTTTTCGGGGCCAATCGACATGCGCACCGCGGAGCAGCCCTGAACAATCTCGCAATCTACTCCCAAAAACTGCGCAGATGTGGCATTCGACACCCGCTTGGAAGTGTCCAGCTCCCACCCGAGCAGGCCTGCGACCACCTCGCACGCCACGTCGCTGGCGCCTGCAGGCGTGCCCAAGCGCGGCGCCCCCGCCCAAACCGGGTCGGCCCCAAAAAAGTCGTCCACGAAGCGAAGAAACACAACGTGAAACAACCTGGCCAGAATGGCGCGGACAGCCGCGCCAAACCTTTCCCAGTTGTAGACAGAGGCGGCTGCGCCAAAAGGGCACGCCAAAAGCTGAAGCCCTTGGCCACGGGACTCGGCTGCAGCCCAGGTGACAACGGCAAACTGCAAGTGTGAGCTCGCCAGTGGGAGCGTTTTGAAAGCATTCACGAAATCCTCCTTGCGAAGCGCGGCTCCGCCAGCGCTTGCGAGGATCGTCTTGCAAAGCACAGCTACGAATTGATCTAGACCGTCGTGCTGGACCGCTTCCCCTACGGAAACAGCTGCATTTATATGCGACGCCGTGAAATCGTCGATGCAGCGGATTTTCCTTGAGGCAGCTTTCCAGCCCTCGTCGACAGGGAACCTGGCAGTGAGGACGCATGTGTCACGCAGAGGGCGCCACCTAGCGTGACCATCGGCGACCTCCTTTTGGCATTTCTCGTGAAAAACTGCCTGGACCAACTGCTCCACAGTGGCCGGCCGCCGCACGCGGCGCAGCGTTTCAGAGTTGAGAGAATGCGCCCGATCTCGCAGCGTAGCTGCTGTCTCGGCACACTCGGAGAAAGGAATGCTCGGGAGCACACCGCTGCGTGGGATTTGGCCCAGAAGTGGGAAACCGTTCTGTAGGTCCCCAACGAGCCGGGCGTCAGGCCAGCCAACTGCCTCGAGCATTTCTGCCAGCACAAGTAAATTTTTCTTCGGACCGAGAACGCTCTGGACGTGCGCGGGCAGCTCCGCAAACCTGCGCGCCCAAAGCGGGTCCAGCACGCGCTTGCGCTGGCGCCAGTGCTCGAGGCTCTCAGCGCGGGCCTGAGCCAAACTGTGCCCATTCAGGCAAAGCGAATGGTGAAGAGGTTCCGCGATTGCAGCGGGAACCTCTGGCAGTTCGTCGCAAGACGGCAACTGCAAAGCCCAAGCTAGGTGATCCAACGGGGTGAGCCCGCGCACCCCCGGACCAGAAAGAAAGCTATGTACAGCCTCGCGCACAGCGGCAACGCGAGGGCAATCGAGGCATGCAAAATGAAACTCGGATTCGGTCGGCGTCAGCTCGCGCACAGGCGCCTCCCTGTCACAGCCAAAACTTGCGCGAGCACGCGCTTGCGCCAGAGTGTCCTTTCCACCAAAATGGGAAAGCTCTGGGCCTGAGCTGCTGGAATCTCACCAGCCGCCCCAGCCGTTGCCACTGCGCTGCTTGCCACTGCCGTTCTGGTTGGCCTGGCTGGCCCGGGGACTCCTGGAACGGTTGAGCTGTGGGGAGACTGGAGCACGGCCTTTGCCAGTGTCTGCCTTGCTGGTCTTGCCGCCGCCCTTGGGGGTGGACTGCTTGCTGCTGCTGGCCTTGCCGCTGTTGCCTTTGGGCTGCGTCTGTGCCGCAGTGCCTTTGGCTGCAGCTTTGCCGGCGCGGCTCATGGCCATCTGAGCCTTGTCGCGGGCGTCGCGGACGATCTCACGATCCAACTTCTGAAAGAAATGCGAAATATCCACCTCGCCTCTCTCGAGACAACGCGCCATCTCGCGGCGCACAAGCCAGTCATAGAAATAAGCCGTGTGCACGCCGCCGAACTCTTCGGCCACCCGGGTCAGCAAGAACACGTAACCCAACACCTCGGACGGAGAGCACACCTTCATGATGCAGATCTTCAACCCCCACGTCATCACGTGGCCCAAGAAAGTGGCAAACCCAACGTAGTGCACCCGGTCCTCCTGCGTCCGCGCGCGGCGCATCTCGAGCGACGCGCGCATGCGATCCTCCCAAGACCCGCCGGGAGCGACCACGTCGATCTCCGGAGTGCGGCTCCACTGGGGCCTGTGGGCCGCCTGGAGGTCGTCACCGTCGGCGCCTCCGACGTAAGCCCGGCCGCGGTCGGCGGCAGCACGGCCGGCGGCTTCCCACTTCGCGGCGAGCTCCTCGGAGGGCAACGCCTCCGAAGGGAAGTCCTGCAGACCGACCTCGCGGATCCGGTCTGCCAAGCTGAAAGACAAACCTTTCTTGGGCTGGGTGCTTGCCTGTTTCACGAAGTCACGCATGGCCTCCGCCAGGGCATCGTTGCTGGAAGGCGCGGCCGTCGCAAGTGCGCCGCACGAGCCCGAGCTGCCGCTCCCAGGGGTGGACACCTGCGCGACGCACTTGCCCTGAACGCGCAGGGCGTACACGATCTGTGCCGGAGTGAACTTCAGCGACTTCCACGACTCAGGGAAGGCCTCGCCACTGAAAGGGAAATCCCCTGGCTTGAGGCCCTCAGTAATCATCCCGCGGATGACGACGTCGCTGTAGTCGCTGGGGTGGATGCTGCCGACCAAGTCGGCGAGAACCCCCGCCACGCTGGAGTAGAAGCGCAAACCGTGTTTCGCCCGTGGAGCCTCGTCCACCTCCAGAACGAACCGGACCCAGTTCAACCTCTCCGAGCTGGTGGCGCCTGCGAAAGCTGCATCCGGCAGGCCTTCGAGATCGGCAGCAATCTCTGCATCAGTGAAAGACACCTGCGCCATGCCTTTGGAAAGCACAGTGGAACACGGCAGACTGGCGAGCTTGGCCGAATAGCAGCAAAGGACTTGATCCGCCGAGGCTACAGATCACAGACGCACAACGCACGTGCAAGGCAGCGAGCGAATCCAGCCAAAACATGTGCGACGAGAGCCCCCAGCGATAGCAAGGGCTGTTCGCTACTGGAGCCGCCCAGCGTTTGCGAGGGCGCCCCAGAGGAACCCAGCGTTAGCAAGGGTTGTTGGCCACTGGAGACGCCCAGCATTAGCAAGGGCGCCCGAGAGGAACCCAGCGTTAGCAAGGGTTACGGGCAACTGGAGCCGCCCAGCGTTAGCAAGGGCGCCCCAAAACCCAGCGTGAGCAAGGGTTGTTGGCTACTGGCGCCGCCCAGCGTTAGCAATGGCGCCCCAGAGGAACCCAGCGTTAGCAAGGGTTGTTGGCTACTGGAGCCGCCCAGCATTAGCAAGGGCGCCCCAGAGGAACCCAGCGTTAGCAAGGGTTTCGTGCTCTGGAACCGCCCAGCGTTAGCAAGGACGCCGCAAAGGAACCCAGCGTTAGCAAGGGTTGTTGGCTACTGGAGCCGCCCAGCGTCAGCGAGGGCGCCTCAGAGGAACCCAGCGTTAGCAAGGGTTGTTGGCCACTGGAGACGCCCAGCGTTAGCAAGGGCGCCCCAGAGGAACCCAGCGTTAGCAAGGGTTACGGGCAACTGGAGCCGCCCAGCGTTAGCAAGGGCAACCCTCACACGTGGCAACGAGAGCACGGGCAGGGCACAGAGCGGCGACGAGAGCACCAGCGACACGCAACGGCACCATCCGAACAAGGGGGTGGCCAGCGCTGAGGCGTCTGAACGGTAGCCGGCGCCAGGGCGAGAAAGAGACCCTCCTTTTGGCACTGCACCAGGCACGCGCCCAGACCCACGCCGAGCGGCCACGCGCGGCTGACACGCACGAGAGCGCGCCAATCAACCAACCAACCAGCCAGGACGAGGGAGGAGGAGGACGCGGCGTGGCATCCCCACGCCGACTACCACCGGCCGCACCGCAGCCCAAGGCGCAGAGCACAGGAAACACCCGACAGAGACCAACAGGGCGCCAGGGAGGCCTGCGGAAACCCACGGGGACCCCCCCGAATCCGCAGCCCCGCTTTGGGAGCGCCCACGGGCGTGACAGCAAGAAGGCCAGAAGGCAATAAGGCAACAAGTGGCAAAAACAACATCCCCGCTCCTCAAATTTCCCTGCCCCCCCAAATTGCTGCGCAATCTAGGGGCGACGAAAAAAAAAAACTGCGCCTAGCTGCGCCAGTGCAGCAAAACAGCGCGGTCGCGCGGCGAAGAGCCAAAAGGGCAACGCCCGTGGCCAGCCCACTGGGGCAGACCAACAGTTTGGCCGCGCGGCCACACACACATACACCCGAAACTGGCAGCACGGCCAGGAACCTGCCAGTTACGGCAGCGCTGCCCCCACCGTGCAACCGGCTGGCCGAGCGCAGCGCAAGGTTTTGAGCAGCACGGCCGAGGGCAGGTGTTGCAGCACGGCCAAAGACCCCGGCAGGAGGCCGCACGGCCAGAAACCACACAGAGATGGCGGCACGACCAGAAAACCACGAGATAGCTGACCAGGTGCGGCCCAACGTCTCGCGGCCAAAAGCCTGCCAACAAATGCAGCACGACGCGAGGGTTTGGCAGCACGGCCAAGAGCCCGCGGGTTCGGCAGCACGGCCAGGGACCCAACAAAGGGGCACAACGGCAAGAAGCCGCGACGAATGCGCCGACAAGGCCCGAGAAGCGCGGCGCGAGGGTCTGGCAGCGCGGCCAAGGACCGCAGGAAGGGAGAGCACGCCCACAAAACCACGACAACTGGCCACCTGAGCGCCGAAGACACAGACGAAACACGGGCCTAGGGTTTGGCAGCACGGCCAAGAGCCCGCGGGGATGGCAGCACGGCCAGGACCCCGAGATGGCAGCACGGCCAGAAACACCCGAGACGGCGGGCAGCTGGAGGGTTTGGCAGCACGGCCAAGAGCCCTCTGGGTATGGCAGCACGGCCAGGGACCCAACACGACAAGAGCACAATAGCACCCCCAGCGGCAAGAGCAGGAGGCCAGATGCCTGCGCGCACGCCCTGGGAAAACGGCATCCTTCCGCGGCGACAGACCGACGCCCATGAGGGCAGGTCGCGGCCCAGAGTCAGCGCGGACTCGTTCGCGCAGGCACCGGCGGGACTGCTCCCGCTAGGGGGCTAGCACCGCCAGCGAGCCAGCACCCCCCTGGCCAATCAACCAACCAACCCGCCAGCCGACGACAGCGAAGAAGAAGGCGAGGCGGACGGGAGGTGAGGCCGTCCAGGCGTGTGAGCCGCAGCCCCCTGGTGGGGGCAACCAGGCCAAGAGCACTACCCAGGAGAACCAGAGAAGCAGGGAGGCATAGAGAGTTGTGCAGCCCCGCCCTGCAGATTTTCCTGCCCCGCAAACCGCTACGCGGTTTGCGGGCTATGAAAATCTCCCAAGGTGACCGGTGCCAAATGGGTGCCTTTTCGCTTCCTGGCCTCTTAGCCTTTTGGCAGCCCTCAAAGAATGCGACGTCGGGCGCTTTGAGTTGCAGGCGCAGCTCTCTGCCTGGGTGCCTCCAATAGGGGGCTGCGGCTCACGCGCCCGAGCGGCCTCACCTCCCGCTCGCCTCCGTCTTCCTCCTCTTCGCTGGCTGGCTGGTTGGTGGCTGGGATGTGCGGTGGAGAGCGCTCCTCGCTGCAGATGCTCCGATCCGTGTTCAGCACGTCGCAGCAGCGGGGCGACGCCCCGCAGCAGAGAGAATGTCCCGCAGGACGGGAGAGGCACTCCGCAGCGAGGCCGAGCTTCCCGCAGGACGGGAGGCAGCGCTGTGACAGGAAGAGCCCCCGCAGGACGGGAAGGCTTTCCGTCATGGAGCGCGCGGCGCCGCGCTGCCCACAGGATGGGAGAGCTGGCGGCGCCGCAACCCACCCTCTGCCACCCTATGTATGTGCTGTGGCTGTGGCTATTCCTGCAGGCTGCCCTGCTGGACTGGGGGCCTGGTGCGTTTGCCCAGGAGCCCAGCCCAGCAGCAGGCTTGACATCACTGCCCAACGCTCCTGCGAGGGCAGCCTGCAGGAGATTTTCCCGACGCCAGTCCCGTCCAACCAGTGTGCAGCTAGTTTGAACGTTGTAACCAAGCCAAGTTTATCTCGGCTCCCCTCAAACGGAGTTCCACTGAAATCGACAGAGTGGTGCGCTTGACAACGAGTGCATCTGGCTGAAGCTATAGGGCCATGGCCTCTGCCTTTGACTGCCTGGCTGGCTCTTTGACTTGGTCTCAGGGTCGGCCGAGAAGCGTCGCAGCCACAGTGCCCAAGCGGGCGGACAACACCTTCAGAAAGAAGGTCCTGAAGGATTCCGGCTTCTTTCCGATCGTCGAGGTGTTGCAGAAGTTCGGGAAGCTGCATGCTAGAACATCGGTGGAAACCTACCGATCGCGGCGCATCATGTAAAGGAATTGGCGGAGGTTGTGCCGGCGGAGCTGGCTCGGCTGCAAGTGGAACGAGTCGACGTGCAGGTGACTCTGGCCCCGATTGTGGCACTGCTGGCACCAGGGCAGATTGCGATTGCGAAGAGCCACCTCGTCCAAAAAATGCATTCACATAGCCTTCATGAGTCGCAAGGTGAACGAACAACAATTCTGAAGGTATAGGTAAAGCACAGTAAGGACACGAAGTCAAACTCGGAGGTTGAGCCATCGTGCTTTGGCTACGTCATGCGAAAATCGGCCCGGAATCGCTTGGGGATCGTTCCGGTATCACTCAGAATGCTTTCAGAATCCTCTCAGAATCCCCTCGGAATCCTCTCAGAGTGCTTTCAGAGTGCTTTCAGAGTCCTCTCAGAGTGCTTTCAAATCCCTCTCAGAGTGCGTTCAAATCCCTCTCAGAATGCTTTCAGAATCCTCTCAGAATGCTTTCAAATCCCTCTCAGAGTGCTTTCAGAATCCTCTCAGAATGCTTTAGAATCCTTTCAGAATGCTTCCAGAATCCTCTCAGAATGCTTCAAGAATCCTCGCAGAATGCTCTCAGAATCCTCGCAGAATGCTCTCAGAATCCTCTCAGAATGCTCTCAGAATCCTGTCAGAATGCTTTCAGAATCCTCTCAGAGTGCTTTCAAATCCCTCTCAGAATGCTTTCAGAATCCTCTCAGAATGCTTTCAAATCCCTCTCAGAATGCTTTCAGAATCCTCTCAGAAAGCTGTCAGAATCCTCTCAGAATCCTCTCAGAATATTCGAATCCTCTCAGAATCCTCTCAGAATACTTTCAGAATCCTTTCAGAATCCTGTCAGAATTCTGGCAGAATCCTCTTGGGAGTGCTCGTAGAGTGCCGCAATAATCCCCAGCCAACTCTTTTAGACAGGGCCACTGTGGCGCTTTAGACGCGGGCAAAAACCTTTAGAGGTGGCACTCCTCTGTGGAGGGGTGGACCAGTCTAAACGACCAAAAGTTTCTGTAGACAGTTTTGGACTGGAAAATCGGCGTTTCGACCGTAGTTTCCCACGGTTGGTCGTTTGGTCCGTTTGGGGAGTTTCATGGTTTCCTCATGGCCTGGTTGGCTCCAGTAGGAGCGGCGGCGTTGGCGCGTGTCGTCGGTGTTCTGTGGTTTGCCGCCCGGCGCGGGGGCGGGGTAGCAAGTTCCCGGCGTCCTCGTCGCCACGTTCGCCGTGGCCACGCAGGCGCGCTCCTGGCGGACTTGGTCTGTCCAGTGCGCGTGCCTCGTCTGTCCCTGCGGGGTGTGCCGCGGCTCTAGGATGTTTGGCAAAACTGATGGATCTCCCCGTTTCCAGAACTGGCGCGGGCTTCCGCTTGTGTTCCCCTTGCTCCTGCCCTTGCCTCTCTGCTTTGCCCTTTCCCGCTTCTCTCCTCTTTCCGCCGCTCGACGGCTCAAGCCTTTCAAAGGCCAAGCTGGGGGTCGGCCTCAGATGGCCTAAGGCCGGGCCCCGGGACGGGGCCCGAA